AACCAGGCAAGGGAAAGTCTCAAGACGGGACGGTCCAGGCGGGCCAAACCAGTGGTGGGATTCAGGCAGTTCGTCCTGCTTCGGGAGAACCGGTTGTTTTAACTTTCTGCGCAGTTTGGTGAACTGGTTGTTGGAAGAAATCATTCGGGCAGAGAACCGGTTGTTAACGTCATTTGAATCCCACCACTGGTTTGGCCCGCCTGGACCGTCCCGTCTTGAGACTTTCCCTTGCCTGTTTTTTTTCCTCGCGACCCTGGGGACTCACCGTTTCGGGGCAGGTCCTTGCGGTGGGCAACTCCCTTGTACCCAATAAAATCGCCCTGTTTCTTTGAGAAGAAAAAAAAAGTGTCGTTTTTTTTTTAGCAGGTGGTTTTGCTCTGGCGTGGGACTTTTGGGAAAGCGGGTGGGGGGGAGTTCGCCCAGGTGGGGAGGGAGTTTTCCCCACAGGGGTTGGGGGGAGGCGACGCCAAGCTGGATTCAGAAGGCAGAATAAGAGAGCTGGAAGGGACGTTAGAGGTCTTCTAGTCTGACCCCCTGCTCAAGCAGGAGACCCTGTACCACTTCAGACAGGTGGCTGTCTCTTCTTAAAGACTTCCAGTGTTGGGGCACTCGCAACTTCTGGAGGCAAGCTGTCCCACGGGTTAATTGTCCTGACTGTTAGGAAATTTCCCCTTAATTCAAGGTTGCTTCTCTCCTTGATTAGTGTCCATCCATTCCCCTTCCTTCCTTTCCTCCCTCCCTCGAATAATAGAATAACAGACTTGGAAGGGACCTTGGAGGTCTTCTAGTCCATTCCCCCTGCTCAAGCAGGAGACCCTGTACCACTTCAGACAAATGCCTGTCCAGTCTCTTCTTAAAAACCTCTAGTGATGGAGTAACCCATAACTTCTGGTGACAAGCCTTTCTATTGTTCAATGGTCCCCACAGTTAGGAAGTTTCTCCCGAATTCCACGTTGCTTCTCTCATTGATTAGTTTCCATCCATGGCTTCTTGCTTTGGGAGAATAGGGGTCAAGAGTTCCAAATATCATCCAGAATTAAACCATAGGTTGACCCTCTCCTCTCCACACATTGGACTGCCACAAATATGGGAACATTGCTGTCATGTCACCCCCAGTCCTTTTTTTTTTAGCCAAACTCAATTCCTGCAACCGTTCTTCCGATGTTTTTACTCTCCTTAACACCTTTCCAGTCTCAAACTTTTTGCTTTGGGAGAATAGGTGTCGAGAGTTCCAAATATCATCCAGAATTAAACCATAGGTTGACCCTCTCCTCTCCACACATTGGACTGCCACAAATATTGGAACACTGCTGTCATGTCACCCCCCCAGTCCTCTTTTTTTTAGCCAAACCCAATTCCTGCAACCGTTCTTCCGATGTTTTTACTCTCCTTAACACCTTCCCAGTCTCAAACTTTTTAAAAAAAATGTTTATTCCAGATGCTGCCTTAAAAGTTTCATAAAGCAGTGTTAATAGTTCGTGCGATTTGGATTCTATGCCTCTCTGTTCGTAACAACCGAAGGTTTTTAAATCAGATTGTGTTTAGGAGATTTCTGCTAAACCGAGCTTGGCCAGATGAGTTGTTGGGAACCAAACAGGTAGTAATATTTGGATTGAAGGGATCACTGTCCACAACGTGTAAAACCACAGCTGGGTTTTCGACAACGGGATAAACCAGAGGTTATCCCCCGCATTTTTTCCTGTAATGTCTGCAAAGATATTTCTGCCACCTTCTTTGCCAATACAACCTTAAGAATTATCTGAAAATTAGATTTGAAGCTGGTGTGCTCCCTTACTGAGGTGATGTCCTAGTTTAATTCAGGTCCTCCTCTTTGTAAATCTTGAGTGTGGTGCCAACGTACTAAACGACTATGGGTAATTTTGGATGTTCTCGCAAATTTCCTCCCTTTCTTTATATATATATTTAAAAAATTCATGGAAGTCCGTAACCGTTGCTGTCGCCAAGCTAACGTTAAAATTCCATAAGCCAATTTGTGCACCTCTTGTAAAGCATTGGAGTGGGATCCCTTGTGCGATTCGCTTCTGTGATCCTGAACGATCTCATTATGAGCCAAACAGTTCCCACTTTCTCTCCAGAAGTCTATAAATCTATATCACATTTCCTTGTCTGCTNATAGATAGATAGATAGATAGATAGATAGATAGATAGATAGATAGATAGATAGATAGATAGATAGATAGATAGATAGATATGGATGGATGGAGATAGACAGACAGACAGACAGACTAGACAAAGAGACATGGAGAGAGAACACGAGAGACAGACAGACAGACAGACATAGAAATGAAACATAGATGGATGCAATAGCACTTAAACTTATACGCCGCTTCACGGGGCTTCCCAGCCCCCTCTAAGCGGTTTACAGAGTCAGCCTCTTGGCCCCCAACAATCCGGGCCCTCATTTGACCCCCTCGGGGAGGAGAAGAGGAGCCTAATGGGGGTGTTGTCTCCGTGGGCTTCCCCCCTCCCCTCCTTCCCCTCCGAGGGCTTTCATCCCCCCCCCCCTTCCTCTTTCAGCGCAGGGCGGGGTCAGGCTGGGCGCCCTCTTTTAAGCGCCAGCCGGCTTGCCCCTCGCCCCGCAGCCCGCCGGGGACGGAGACGGAGGCGTCCGGGATGGAGAGCCCCTATTACGACTACGACGAGGACGCCGCGGGCAACTGGAGCGAGGCTTGGGGTCCCGGGGGCTGCCCGTGGGATGCCGAGGAAGAAGCCGAGACGGACTGGGAGCTCTCCTTCTCGTTGCTCCCGGTGCTCTACATGCTGGTCTTCGTGCTGGGCCTGTCGGGCAACGGGCTGGTCATCTTCACCGTCTGGCGGGGCTCGCCTGGCAAGCGCCGCTCGGCCGACGCCTACATCGGCAACCTGGCGCTCGCCGACCTGGCTTTCGTGGTCACCTTGCCGCTGTGGGCGGCTTACACGGCGCTGCGCTTCCACTGGCCCTTCGGCTCGGCGCTGTGCAAGCTCAGCAGCTACCTGGTGCTGCTCAACATGTTCGCCTCGGCTTTCTGCCTGGCCTGCCTGGGCGTCGAGCGCTACCTGGCCATCGTGCACGCCTTGCCATCACGCCCGTCGGCTGCTGCCTCCTCCTCGTCGTCGCCTTCCTCCGGCTGCTGCGCGTCCCCGCGGCCGCGCACCTGGACGCTGCTCTCGCTGGCTGCCGTCTGGCTGCTGGCCGGCTTGCTGGCGCTGCCGGCGTTGCTGCTGCGGCAGACGCGGCTGAGCCCTCGGGGAGGCAACGGTTCGGCGCTGGAGTGCGACATGGATTTCAGCACCTTGGCCGGCAGCGCTGAGCAAGCGGCTCGCTGGCTGGCGGCGCTCAGCTTGGCCACGACGGCGCTGGGCTTCGTGCTGCCGCTGCTGCTGCTGACGCTCTGCTACTGCTGTATCGGGGCCGCCGTCAGCCGGCACTTCCGACGGCGGGGCCGCAAGGAGGAGAGCCGCCAGCGGCGGAGGCTCCTGCGGATCCTGGTGACGCTGGTGGCCGTCTTCGCCCTCTGCTGGCTGCCTTTCCACCTGCTCAAGAGCCTCTACGTCTTGGCTTGGGTGGGCTTGCTCAGCCTGCCCTGCGCCTGGCTGGACCTCATCCTGCGCCTGCACCCCTACGCCACCTGCCTGGCCTACGTCAACAGCTGCCTGAACCCCTTCCTCTACGCCTTCTTCGACGGGCGCTTCCGGGCCCAGTGCCGGCTGCTGCTCGGGCTGCGGAGCCCGCGACGCGGGCCCGCCGGATCCGTCTCGTCCACGCTCAGCGGCCAGACGCAGAAGTCGGAGCTGCCTTCCTCGGGGACCAAGGTCTAGGAAGGTGGCGTGCGGGACGGGGGGTGGAACCGTGCCGGGGATCGCCAAAACGGCACCCCGCCTTCGGAACGGATTTGGCCAGTGGTGGGATTCAGGCAGTTCGTCCTGCTTCGGGAGAACCGGTTGTTTNTCTATCTCTATCTCAATATCTATCATCTATCTATCTATCTATCTATCTATCTATCTATCTATCTATCTATCTATCTATAGATTCTGTGTTTATATCTCGCAGCAATTAAAGAGGCCTGGCGAAACCTGGTTCCCCTTTTGGTCTCCCACTTGGCAAAAAGAACAGGAATCCTTCTTGCCCGAGGTTCACACGCTCCAGCCCAGGAGCCTCTACATCCCATGGGAATCCCAAGAAATGGGCCTGGCATCCTGAAGTGAGGGGAGGGAGGGGGAGCCGGGAGGGTCCATTTTCCTTTTTCTCACAACAGGGATGTGCAACTGTTTTTTTCAGGCCAGGAATGACATTCCTCTTATCGCCTTGCGTCAGAGGGCACAGTCTCCCCTGTCCCTCAACCGTGGAGAATCTCAATGCAGAATGGCCTGGCTGGCAAAAGAAATTTAAAGCACTCATTTATCTTCTGTGGATAGGATAAGATAGGATAGGATAGGAGGAGGAGGAGGAGGGGAAAGGAGATGAGGAAGAGAGGAAAGGAAGAGGAGAGGAGGAGGAGAGAGGAGGGTAGGATAGATGAAGGACAAGGAGAAGGAGAGAAGGAAGAGAGGAGAGGAAGGAGAGGAGGAGGAGAAAGAGAAGGAGGAGAAGGAGAAAAAGAGGAGGAAGAGAAGTAGGAGAAAGAGAAGAAGGAGAATGAGACAGGAGGAAGAGGAGAAAGAGAAGAGGAAAGGGAGGAAAGGAAAAAGGAGAGGAGAAGGAGAAGAAAAAAGAAGGAGGAGGGGACAGGAGGAGGAGAAGAAAAAGAAGGAGGAAAGGAAAGAGAGGAAAAAGGAGAGGAGAAGGAGAAGAAAAAGAAGGGAGGAGGAGACAGGAGGAGGAGAAGAAAAAGGAGGAGGAAAGGAAAGAGAGGAAGCAGGAGAGGAGGGGGAGCATGAGAAAGAAGGAGGAGATGAAGAGGAGGAAGAGAAAGAGGAAAGGAAGGAGAGGAAGAAGGAGAGGAGGGGGAGAAGGAAAGGAGGAGAGGAAAGGAGGGGAGGAAGCTAGGAAAGGGAGAGGAGGAGAGAGTAAGATAGGAGAAGGAGAGGAGGAGAAGGAGAAGCAGAAAGAGGAGAAGGAGGAGGAAAGAGGGAGGAGGAGGAGGAGGAGAAGAAGCAGAAAGTACAGTTGCCTCCAGAAAAAGCCCCCTTGGGACAGAGCTGAGGTACCGGACAGGATTTTCCTTCTTCAAACCTCCATGCTTCTTACCTGGATTTGGGGATTTTCATCCCAGGTGCCCCCACCCACCGCTGGAATTCCAAGCGAGAGAGATTTGGATTGCCAGCCCTTTCCTTCCCAGCCCTTCTCACACCTTCCCCCCTCCCGCCAACCCACCCCATCCCCGCGACGGATCCCAGAGCCGAGATGTCTCTGGGGCCCCTTTCAGTCATCAGCCCCTTATCGCCTTCGGGGAATGCAATTTGGCAGGCCTTGGGAAAACACCCGGGAAGGGAAAGAAAAACAGCCCTGGGGAGGGAGGAGGGGGTCCAGGGGCAGCAAAGACCCTCCTGACCCTCAATAGATGGGAGGGAGAGACCAAACGCAAAGTTGAAGCTGCCCAAGATACGGGAGGCATCGGAAAGGGAGACACAGTTGTGCCACGGGGAGAGAAGCCGTTTCCGTGGGCTGCTCTTGTCCGAAGCCCCGATGGGTTTGGGTGTGGGTTTTAGTTCAGCATGGTGCAAAAAATATAAATAGAATAGGAAAGAATAGAATAGGAAAGAATAGAATAGAATAGAATTTAAAATAGAACAGAATTTAGAAGAGAATAGAATTTAGAAGAGAACAGAATAATACAGAATAGATTAGAATAGAATTTAAAATAGAANGGAGCTGCCACAGAGAAGGCCCTCCCCCGGGTAGTAGCCAGATGGCATTGGCTGGTGGACGGAACCCGGAGGCCAACCCTGTGTGATCTAATGGGTCCTTGGGAGGTAATTGGCAGCAGGCGGTCTCTCAAGTACCCAGGTCTAATACCAGGAAGGGACCTTGTAGGTCATCTAGTCCAACCCCTTCTACAAGGTCTCTTCCAACTCTGTGAATCTGTGATCAAAGCATCCTCAGAGATGCCCAATGCTTGGCCGGGGTGGGGGGGTGGGGCGGTTGGACTAGATGACCTACCAGGTCCATTCCAAGTCTGTAATGAATCGGTAATTATACCTGCTATCTTGTACACGTTTGACAAACAAATAAACCCATGGAAGGACAGCACAAAGCTGTGTTGTTCTGCGCCCCCCCCCATGGGAAGCTGCCCCATCCCACATCTGCAGGACTCCCCCCTCCCCGCCAAGGGAGCCAAGGTAGAATTGCCAAGACCAAGAGAAAAGATGACAAGACTACAGTGTCGCAAGGCGACGGAGAACCAGTTCCATTCCTCCTCCACCACCACCCTCTGGTTGGCAAGAGGAAGAGGAGCGACAGCTGCGGTTGTCTTGTCTCATGAAAGGGAAGAGGGTGGGGGGGCTTCTAGACAGCAAAGAGAGGGCACTAGGAAGCAGAGGAAGGAGGCCTACATGACACAGCCATCACCCTTCCACTTGCAATGGAGATTCTCCAGGGAATGGACAAGGGCGGTGGGGGGTGGCCCACCGCAGCTGAGCCTCAGGGCTTCGGGGGGGAAGCTGGCACTTTGGCAGCTACCCAGCTTTTCATGAAGGTCCTTTCATCGGCCAGGCGCTGATCTAAGCAGCTGCACCGCCTTGGCAAAAGCAGCCCCCCCCCCACTCACAAAAGGAGCACAGTGATAAGGGTGGTGGGAAGGGACGGGGGGGGGGGACATCTCAGCAGCTGGAAGGAGAACCTTAGAAACGAGAGGTTCGGCCTTTGAGGGACGGGGAGAAATGATGTCGGGTTGGAGAAGCATCTCCCGGATCCAGCTACGGAAACGAAGGGATGGCATCGGACCGCTGATATTGAAAGCCTGCGGGAGATTTTAAAAATTGACAAGCGCTCTAGATCAGGGGCGTCAAAACTTGATTTCGTGGAGGGCCTCATCAGGGTTGTGCTTGACCTGGGGTGGGTGGCCAGCTTAACGTCACTCATCGAGACTCCGTTACCGGCCATGACGGCCTCCCGCAGCCCTCTGCAAGTGAAAACGGAGCCTGTTTTCTATTCTGCTTTATTCTAATTCTATTCTATTCTTTTCTAATTCTATTCTATTCTTTTATTCTAATTCTATTCTTATTCTACTCTTTTCTTTTCAATTCTATTTCTATTCTATTCTTTTCTAATTCTATTCTATTCTTCTATTCTAATTCTATTCTAATTCTATTCTTTTCTAATTCTATTCTA